AACAAACAAACAAACAAACAGCTGACTGACTGAACACACACTATCCGGTATCCTCAAAAACAAACATCACTCTTAAACAACATGTAAATAATGTCCTGTCAGAGAACAAACAACAACACACGCTCAGAAATCGCTCCGGAGGTAGAAAACAAAACCGTGAGGTCGCTGTCAGAAATGAATGGAGCCCGCAGCAGAGGAGCGGGGCGCCATGTCGGGTGTTTTTCTACCGGTTTAAAGGACATAAAGACACGAAGCACCGACCTGTCCGAGTAGGCGGGGAGGAGCACATACTGTACGACCACGTAGTCCGCGTAAAACACGCTGAAATAAGTTAAAATCAGACAGATAACACCGCAGGGGTCTCGCCTACAGCGCAGCGACGCCATCTTCTGCCGGGCTCCCCCCCCGCCCCCCGGCTTCCGGGTTACGTCACGGTTGGAACGCGACGCTGCCTTCCAGAACTGTTGGAAAAACAGCTCTTAAAGGGCCAGTGCGCCCACATAAATATAAACATTTAGGTTTATTGGGATTATTGCATTTGGTTTTGTTTGATTGTAGGAGTATTTATTATCTGTGTGTGCCTCTTGTGTTGGATTATTATCGAATTATTGTTGTTATTATTTCAGAGCATTATTTCTCACTAGATAGATCTGTTTAATTTTAAGAAACAACCAAATAAAATAGCTATTTTTGTCTGGTTTAAGCATTGTAAAAATACATTTGATTGTGTTTGATTGTAGAATAATTTATCCTCTGTTTGTGCCTCTTGTGTTGGATTATTACCACGTTTGAGTCGAATTATTGTTGTTATTATTTCATAGCATTATTTCTCACTAGATAGATCTATTTATTTTAAAAACAACCAAATAAAATAGCTATTTTTGTCTGGTTTAGGCATTGTGAAATTACATTTGATTGTGTTTTTTATAATGTCCATATAATGTCCATATAGTGACTTATAATTTGACTTTGTTGCCCCATACTGAGTTTATATTGATTTTATAGTGTTAAGATGAGCCTATAATAACATATAGTGACTTATAATGTAACTCTGGCACTTTATATTGAGTCTATAGTTGTATTGTGTTTAAATTTATTATAATAATAATAATAATAATATATAGATATATTAAAATCCGGATCAGAACCAGAAATACTTTATTGATCCCTGAGGGGTAAAATTGTTCATTACAGTTGCTCAAACAACATTAAAGAATAATAATAATACAGTTTATTTATAGAGCATTTTTCAAGGAACTCAAAGACACACATATTATAATAATGATATAGGACGTTAGAATCATGTATTATATTACAATATCTAACACAATATATGTAGAAAATAGAAAACATACATGGGTATATACATATAAAAAGTATAAAAACAGAATAATATGAGTGTGATATATGTATACAAATAGACAGACACACTCCCAGCAGTCAGACACAAGGTGGCAGCAGACATCCTCATGCGTAAAAGCTGACATTTACGCACTCTCTCGCTCCTCCCTTGAAGTAGGCAGCGACCAGCTCGTCATCCTCCTCGTTTGCTCAACACTTTTTGTTGCTGCAGACTCTCACAGGACGTGTATCTATATATATGTGTGTGTATGTGTGTATGAGAGAGAGAGAGTGAGAGAGAGAGTGAGAGTGTGTGTTTGTAGTTTCTTCATTTCTTTCTCTGCTGCTTCACAAACTGCCCTCTGGTTTTATTCCTTCCATCGGATACACACACACACACACACACATAAATATATTCCTCCTTCACTCATACTCGGAAGTTAAAAAAGAAGAAAGAAAGCTGTTGGTTTGTACTTGGAGGGACTTTTCTTTTTGGAGGAACGCATACAAAAAGAAAGAAAGCAAGAAGAAGGAGAGAGACAGACAAACCTGGAGGAGGAAAAGGGCGTTCATACTTCGAAGTAACCATGGAAGTTCCTGGTATGCAGGTAAGCTGGAAGGTGGACGCGGATGGCACATTTGAAGGGCTTTTAAGACGTCGTTGCGCGCAAACTAAACCAGTTTATCAACAGTGCAAGGGGAGAGGGGCATTGTGCAACTGCAGGCCGTTTCCTATATGTTTTACAGTAATTAGGTGTTGTTTGTGTGATATAAGAGTGTGTGTGTGTAACCTACAGGACTCTTGATTCAAAATGAACCGTCTTCCACACCCAGCGTGGAAGAAAAGTCTCTATGATGTTCTTTAAAGCTCATTTTGTTGTTTTAAAGTGAGCTTTAATAGTTGTTTGTGGCACTCTTTGAGTTTATATTTGACTTCTGATACAATAATGAGACTTTATACCCCACATTGAGGTTATAGTGGTGTAAATATCTCTTAAGATATCTCTCTAGTATTCTTATAGTGTGATTTTTTTCCTACTTTATACCGAGTTTAAATGGGTTTTTATGATGTTTGAATCTCTTAAAATATCTTATGTAATGTTTCTATGGTGACTTGTGTTTTTGGGCCTCCATACTGACTTTATGGTGTTTATTTCTCATATAATGTCCATATAGTGACTTATACATTGACTTTGTTGCCCCATACTGAGTTTATAGTGAGCTTATGGTGTTAAGATGAGCCTATAATATTTGTATAGTGACTTATAATGTGACTGTGGTACTTTATATTGAGTCTATAGTGATTGTATTGTGTTTAAATCTCTTAAAATAACCTTATAATAATGACAGTAGTGACTTCTACTGTGTTGTTTCTACTCCATACTGACTTTATATGGACTTTATAGTGTTTATTTCTCTTAATATGCCTGTATAATATTCCTTTAGTGACTTTTGAGCTACATACTGGGTTTATAGTGATTATAAGTTGTTTTATCTCTTATAATAATCACATAATAATGACTGATAATGTCATTTAGCTGCTCCAAACTGAGCTTATTGTGACAATATGATGTTTACACCTATCAAGGTGTTCCCTATAGTGACTTCTGTTGTGTTGTTGGTACTCCAAACTGACCTTATTGGGCCTTTATGGTGTTTATTTCTCTTAATATGTATGTTTAATACTCATATAGTGACTTATAAGTTGACCTTACTGGGTATATTGAGTTTATCGTGATATTATGATGTTTACATCTATTAACATGTCCCCATACTACTCTTACAATGACTTATATTGTGAATTTCCGACTCTATATTGAGTCTATTGTAATTTTATGGTGTTTAAATCTCTAAAACTCTCTATAATCTTTCTATAGTGACTTCTGTTGTGTTATTGGCACTCAAAATTGAATTTATAGTGAGCTTCAGATGTTTATATCTCCTGTAATATTCATATAGTGATGTTGAAACTCCTATAGCTTTATATTTACTTATTATTTGTCATCATACTGGCATTAGTGACATTTTGGCACTTAATGGTCCCTGTTATATTCCTAAAAAATGACCCTAAAAATTTTTGTGCGATTACATCACTGTTATTGTAATGCCATATTCTCACAGTGACTCATTGTGTCAGAGCTTGTTTAAAATGTATTTATAGCTCACTATCTGTATCTACTTTATGGGTTATAAAAGAGCTGCATCATAAGGAGGAGCTAGGTGTGTCTGTGCCCCTGTGATACTCCTTTACTAACCTATATTGTGTCTCCTCAACAGTGACTTTTAACAATTTAACACATTTTTATTTTACATTTTGTTCCCTATATGTGGTTTTAACATTAGATTTGTATTAGAACCCATCAAACGTTGTTGTCGATTGCTGAAGGTGAATCAGTAGATCGACCGTGTTCTTGCCGCCTAAACAAGGTGTGTAGGGTGAGTTATAAGCCTCCGTTCGGCCTCCTGTTAGGCCGGCTCTCAGGTGTGTCTACCTGTGGGACTGGCTGCCTGGCAGTCAGCTCACTCGCTCTGCCTGCTCTGTTCGGCCCAGGTGGGCGGGGCGGAAGTGGTGTCGAAGGCCAGGTTGAGTCAACACACACCTGACACCCGGCAGCTGCTGCGGCTGCTACTGCTGCTGCTGCTGCTGCTGCTGCTGCTACAGGGCAGACAGAAATATGTGTTGTACCTGCGAAGGAAAAGACTGATGATGGATGGTGGGATGTAATGTTTGCAATGCTGAATGCTGATTGATCGGCCACGTTTACAGAAGGTTTATTGCAGTTTTAACAGTTGATTATTTGTCGTTTTATGCAAAAATAATGGCTACTAGTTGGATTTTTTTATTTTTATTTGACTGTTGGTCTGTTTGCTCTGTGGTAATTTAAAGCTCCTATTTTCAGATCAAAAAGAGTTTAAAATGACTACAGAAGTCATACAAACCCACAGAGAATTATCACCTAACTTAGCATTTTCCCCAGAGTAAGGCAATATTGTGATGCTGTAACAGTATTTATTTTTATCTGATTGCAGATACAATCTTTTTTTGAAATGTGCTGCTTTGGCTCCGCCTCTCTCTTGTCTGTAGTCACCAATTGGTTACATGTTATGAGTAATATTTTTCTTAAAATACAGTTTAAAGGTTCAGTCTTCTTCAGTGTTTTAATTAAATATAATTATGCTACAAGTAGTCCTGTATTCAGCCTCTTAAAGAAGTAAAAGCACAAAAAATTTAAAGTAGCATAAAATGTAAATACACAAGCAAGTACGTCAAAATTGTTCTTGATTTTTAATTTTTACTGTATATATTGGTTCCAAATAATGGTTGGTTTCGGTTTTCTTGATTAGATGTTGAACATAGTGGAGCATTTTGCTGCTACAGAGTCAGATATTTTTCTCAGAAGAGTAAAACAAAGCTAAAAGAAGAGCAGAATTTGCACTTTCATTAATCAGATGCCCAGAAATACGACTCCAAATCCTGACGTTACTGCATGTCTGATAGGCGCAGTATTAAAAGCAACTGTACACTAAGATGTCCATCATGTTATTGTTTTGTTTACATTTTTGTACACTGGTACTGGTACACTTGTATATTTTGGATTCCTATCTAGTTACGTCATGTCTGTGACTCGTATTGTTTTGGGCATTTTATTGAACCTCCAAGAGAGATTTAAAGGTTCCTGTGGCCTCGAGAAGTTACATACATGTACTCTGGACCTTTGAATTGCCATGACCCCATGCTGCTGTTGTGAAAGCCCATTACTTCAGAAAATGTTTTATAAAGTCTGACCACTATCAGACGGCTGATGTTTTTGTGGGTTTCAGCCTCATCACACAGGCCGTTCACTGGTTTTCACATCCCTTTCGAGAGAAACATTACACAAAGCTAGTCTCGACACTGTGTCATTATTACACAAGTTTCCCAGCTGACTCTTCTATTTACACTGGTTTTAATATTCCAAGGTAACATTTGCTGCCTCAGGTACGTCTTTGTATCAACTCTTTCCCACAGCGAATTTTAATGGAGGCGGCCCACCTAGTCTGAAATACAGACCACCTCCGCTAGTGTCAGAAGAATTTATACATTTTCATAATGAAAATGAAACATTACACAGGGAAAGCCACGTGTTTAATGAGTATTGCAGTTGTTTAGACTTCTAGTAACTACTTTGATCACGAGATTCGTAACTCCGGACATGAGAGCGATTTTATATTTAATCAGAGCAGTGTGTTGCAATTAAAAAGTACAATTTATGACATTACACAAGTAAACATAACGTGAAGATTAAACTAAAGGAAAGGCTCTGTGATTAAGGGATTACGTGTAATGTAAGGATTTGTTTGCAACCCCAGAAAAATGTATTAAAAGTCCTTATTCAGTCAAAATTACTGCTCATCTTCTTGTACTCTGCAATTGAAGCTAGCTAGCAGGTAGTTTTCACTTACTGTCACGAGTCAGGCTAAACACTAAAGATTAAGGGCTTGTAACGTTAGCTGATTCCTAGCTAACTGTTAGAAGACGACGTAGTAATGCAACACAACAGACGGCCTTTCAGTAACTATTATACTGCAGCCTTGAGCTCGCAGAATGGGGATAAAACCACATGTAGCGTTTTTCCACCAGATTAGCTCTGGTTCTTGAGCCGGTTTTGTTCAAGATGCTCGGAACCTCGGTGCTAACTAGCGAACCAGCCCACGACTCGAACCGTTGTGTTGCACAATGCAGAACAACCTGTTGAATATGAAATGCTCCGTATGGTTCCCAAATAACCTGCTATTCTACGGTTCTAGGTGGGAACCGACTTTCTGGATTCCTAACCAATTTATTTTTGGTCGAAATGCTCCGAAATTGGTTCAAAACTAAACTGTCTAAACCAGAACAGAGCTGGTTCCCTGTTGGTGAAAAAGACATGAGAGTAACGTTTTGAGGCCATGATTAATGGCTGCTAACTCACGTTGGTGACACCCAGACTTTTCCTGTTGCTGCATGAGGTTGACATTTGTGGTTTTGAATAAAAATGACTCAAGTATGTCAAGTATAGGATGGATTGCCATGAAATTTGGTACCACAATTCTTGTTGATCCTAGGATGATCCCTTCTATATTCATCTAGTTCTATCATCAGATGTACATTTATTTAATTTATTTATCCAAAAACCTGAAAAACTAATGTCTATCAGCCTCTAGCATTTTCATTGTGAGCATATTAGCATGGCTGATGTTAGCAATTAGTTTAAAGCTCTGTCTAAGTACAGCCTAACAGCGCCTGGAGGGCTTGACTGTAGACTCTTTAGTTTTGTTTCTGACATTTTACAGACAATGTGACAGATTCAACCATAAAAATAACCGTTACTTGCAGCCCTATAGGCATCTGTGTCTCTTTTTTTACTGTTTATAACTTTATGCCTCTTCAGTATATGACGACACCACAAACAGAAACAGTTATATCCTTATAATAAAAAGATGATGTGATGGATAGTATGACGCTATGAAAGCACAAAAGCACGTTTGATGACTCGGTTATTATACTTATAGCTTATATGATGCAGTTTGAACAGACTTTTATTGTTTGATTGATAATAATGTGGTGATCGTTTATGGGAAGCCCTGA